TGCTGGTTCCTGGCAGGGCTGTGGGGCCCCGGGAGCGAGGCCAACCCCCCAGCGGCTTCGCCCAGGCCCGGCTTGGTGCCTGCGGGCGGGTGCAGCCCTGTGCCGCCTGGGAGAAGGACCCGGCTTGTGGCAGGATGGGGTGTGTGTGTGTGAGATGCAGGGTCCCCCCTCACCCAAGCTGCCCCGGTCGTATGGAGCAGGAAAGCCACACGGTCAACCAGGACAGACCCCTGTCCCCACTGTAGGGCTCCTGGCTGCGTTGCTCTGTCAGTGCCCCATCCCGGCCGGGTTTGCCCCCAGCCCCATGGCCCTCCGGCGCCTGCCACAGTGAGGTTGCCTCTGTGGGCCCGGAGGCTCAGACCCTGGGAAGTGAGAGCATGGCTGGCTCTACACCGTCCTGCCCTGTGGGGTCATTGAGAACAGTCATCCCCCCTCCCCGCCCCCCGCATGTAGGGTGTGGCCTTTCTCATCCTCGCCCTCCAGCGTGTGTGTGAGAGACAGACAGACCCTCCGGAAAAGGCAAGGAGGGGGGCGATGCAGGAACCCCTCTGTCTGCTCCGACGTGGCTCGGGGTCTTTCTCCCCTTCGCTTGCCCGGCGGCTTGCGCTAGTTCGCTCTCTCTTTAGCTCCGGCCCGTTCGCCCCCCCCGACTCGCTTGTTTCTTTCGCTCACCCAGCTGCAGGCGCTCGCTCGCTGAGCCCTGCTCTCTCCTGGCTTCTCGTCCCAGCACTGGCCACATAACCTCGCCCCCTGGCACGCCCCTCTGCTCCAGTCCCTCTCCCACGCCGGCTCGCTTGCTCCGACACGCACGTTTCTTTGCTCGCGCCTTTGCTTGTCCAGCCTGTCTCTTGCTCGCTTGGCTCTGCCCTCTCCCCCCCGGCCTTTGCTCCCCCTGCCGGTCTGTCTCGTTTCTGGCCCCACCGGCGCTTACATCGGCCTGTCATGTCACTCGGGGTGATGTAGCCCGGCCTTGGTCTCGCTTCCTCTCCCCTGCACTTGCCGGGATGCTTAGATGCTCTCTCCTGCCACATTCCCGCTCTCTCCCCTGCTCCGCCTTTTACTTCCCCCTGGCCTCACCCCTTTCGCTCACGTCTTTGCCAGCCTGGCTTCTCGCTCTCTGTTTGCTTGCCCGGCTGCACGGCGCTTGTTCTCTCTTGCCTGCTTGTCAATCGCTTGCTGGCTCCTTTGCTCACGTGCTCGCTTGCTCTCTGCTGCTTGCTGGTGTCTCTTCCCTCGCTCGCTGCTCGCGTGTTCTCGCCTCTGCTTGCTCTTGACTTGACTTGCCATCAGCTGTCTCTCGCTCGCTCTCTGCTCCGGTTTGCTCCCCCCGCTGCTCTGTCTTGCTATCTTTCTCTGCTGTTGCACCCTCTCTTGCTTGCCCCTTTGCTCACCCACCTGCTGCATGCTCGCTCGCTCTGTTTCTCCGCTCGTTCGCTTTCTCTTCGCTCGTTCTTGCTCGGCCCGTTTGCTCATCCTGCCTCTCTCGCCTTGTCGTGCTCGCTTTCTCTCTCTCTCTCTCTCCCCTGGCCTCACGCTCGCCGCCAGAACCTGAAGGCGGGGCAGAGAATCTCCCCCCCCCACACACTTTTAGAAGTGGGAGGGTTGCCCCCCCTGGCTTTTTCACAAAAGAAACAGAAGCACAGAATTCATGTCCCCCACAGATTTTCTTTTCCCCCCGCCCCGTAGAATAATAGATTCTGCTGGGGAGGCGCTGCAATGACACCTTTTGCCCACCAGGGGCTGCTGTGGTGCCAGAAGCGAGGGGCAGCTGGCTCACCGCTGGAGCAGCCAGCCGTGGCGAGAGTGGCGGCACTTTGGATTTTGATTATTCTACAGGGTGGGGAAAAGAAAATCTGCGGGGGACATGAATTCTGCGCGTGTTTCTTTTTTCTCTCCTCGCCATGCCCTCTGTCTTTCGCTTGCTTGCGCCTCTTTGCACACTGTCTTGCTTTCTTGGGTCAGGGCCCATTTTCAGGAGCCGCTCGAAGCTGACGGCGGGAGAGGGCTCTTAATGAATCCACCCCCAACAAGCAGCCGTAGCTGTGTCAGTGGGAGAAGCTCGGGGAGGTCCACACCGGCGCTTAGGTTGGTGTCACTGATGTCGCCCGAGGTGTGTGCGTGTGGTTTTTCCGCACCCCTGAGCGACTTAAGTTACACCCACCTAAGCTGTAGGGTAGACATAGCCTCACTGGGTCCCCCAACTGGCCAGTCAGGGGCGTTCTGGGTAAGGGCTGCGATTTGGAGCAGTATTTGGGGTGAGGGGGGCTGGTCTGGGGGTGTCGTATTACTATTTAGGGCCTGGGGCTGCTTATTTCATCTCCTCCCCTCTTCCCTGATTTTTTACAATCATCAGCTTGTTCTAGGAGCGTCTCTGCATCTCATCTGCCTGCTCGGCGGCTCATTTTCTCTCTCCCTGGCTGTCCCTGAGACATCGCCCTGCTCCATGACTGTTTTCTTGTCAACCCTGGCTCTGTTGTATGTGTGGGGGGGCGGGAGTTTTGCAAGCCTGTTCCCTCCTGGGGTAGTTGCATCAGGACCCCTGGGCTGTCAGCTGCTGCCAATGACGAAAACGATGCCTTTCGGACAATGCTTTGTTTCCCCCCCTCTGTCTTTGCAACCATGTCCCCCGCCCCACAAACCAGCTGCCTGGAGGCACTTGTGGAAAATGACCCTTTGCTGGGGGCCTTGAACATTTGCTAGAAATCAGCAGTGTGCCCGATGGAAAGGCACAGTGATGTGTGGGTGCTCTGTTGAAATGCTCCTTGATGTCCCGTGAAATGATTTACTCCCAAGGAGGGAACCTGTTTTTGGCTCCCAATTTCTCCTCCTGCCGCACTTGGTTTTTCACCCCTCCTGCCCCCCCCCCCCAATAAAGTTTTTTGTTTCACTGGGAAGTCGTGGGTCCTGTTTTCAATCTGGGCAGGGCCAGGCCAGCTTCACGGTCTAAGGGGGTTTGACTTGTGAACACGCTAACAACCCTATGGGTCAACGGGCACTTTTGATGCTCTCATGTATCAGCCATTGGCACCCGCCTCCCATCCCGTCCCCCCCACCAACCCAGGACTCACCTATGCAGGATTTAGGAGGTCTGGGCTCCTGGCCCCCTGCCCCTGGCTTCTACTGAACATTTGGGTGCCCAGTTTTAGGGGCGGGAGAATAGCGCTTGTTCTGTGCAAACCTCACCCTGGGGAGCCTGTACTGCCTGGAAAAAGAACAGGAGAACTTGTGGCACCTTAGAGCTCAGGAGGGGGCCAAGGCCTTCCTGCTCTTCCAGGTGTCTCAGACTCCCCTCCAGTGCACCAGACCATTCAGCTGCCTTCCTGGGCCCCCAGGAACGTAACCAGAGGCAGAGTTTGAATTTCCTGGGCCAGGCAAGAACGGACCCGCAAGGCCGCCACTCTGCTTCAGCGGCCCACGGAGCTCGCCCGAAGCTAGGGACAGCGGCACCGCAGGATTAGTGGCTGGCCCGGGTCCCGGAAGACAATATGACAACAGGGAGGCGTATCCCAATCAGCACAACGTGGATGTCTGGGGAGTAGATGCCCGTCCAATCCCCCTTTGCTGTAGGACCAAATGAGCTGCTACAGACCTTTAGCACCTGCTGAGTGGAAACAATTGTTCCCCATTGCAATGGTATGGGGGGGAGGGGAGAGAGGGGCTAATGGTGCTTAATGTGCACCGCCTGGCCTTACCCCATCTGTTATACAAGTAACACCACCCGCCATTGCAAAATCCTCCTGTTACACACACACAGGACTAATGTTTTGCAGGACCAGAGTGAATAGAATTGCCGATATTGAACAGCAGGCTCAGAAAGACATCCAGGAAGCAGCAGCCCTGAAGCATCAAGTGTGTTGCTGCACTTCAGAAACCTACAAACCCAGGAGCCCCTCCTTGGAGCAGCCAGCCCGGCCCTTAACTTAAACCACCAGCCCTGTGCCCTCACTAACCCCAGAACTGTTTGACCCTTCGCCTTCCCAGTCTCAGCAAACTCAGCTCTCTCCGTGCACACGTGGGTGGCCCTTAAAAGGACCTTAGGGAAATGAATGTTTTAGGGGGGTTAAAAGCCGACTCAGCCCCCGAAGCCGTACAGGGTGCGCCCCTGGCGTTTCAGGGCGTAGACCACGTCCATGGCGGTCACGGTTTTGCGCTTGGCGTGCTCGGTGTAGGTCACCGCATCGCGGATCACGTTCTCCAGGAAAACCTTCAGCACCCCGCGGGTCTCTTCGTAGATCAGCCCCGAGATGCGCTTCACGCCGCCACGGCGAGCCAGACGGCGGATCGCAGGCTTGGTAATGCCCTGGATGTTGTCACGCAAGACTTTGCGGTGCCTCTTAGCACCGCCCTTGCCCAGCCCCTTCCCGCCCTTGCCGCGACCAGACATGCTACAAACACACCGCTAACACCACCAATATGTAAAACACACGGCGGCCTGTAGGGGTTTATATAGCACAGGGTCCGACCTGAGTGAGAACTGGCGCCACCGCTTGCGTCTCCCCCTCCCCTCGCCCCGACAAAGGGACGCTTCCGGCTCTCACCAATGAGAGACGGCGGCCTTCGCCTCCAGCCAATCAGAACATTACGCGGGTAATTTTAAATTCAAACAGCGGAGTTTGGCGCTCGAGCGGGGCACAGCGAGAAGCTGCAAACAGGGTGGGGAGATAAATCCCCTTCACACACCCCAAAAAGGTGTAAGGGGACGCGGGGGTTTATTTATCACTGACCAGCACCCAGAGCCGCAGAGCCACCCTCCCTGCACCCCCCTGCACTGCGGTGGCTGTGGAGAGCCCCCACTTTTGAATATTCACCCATTGCACACTTGGAAATAAACATCACTCCAATTTCCTTCCCTAAGAGACTCCTGATGGTCAGCTCCCTGGGGCCCCAGCTGGACTGTACAGTGCTAAGCACAAGCCACCCCCCGTTTTCTCTGCGCCCCCTTTTCTCTGTGTGCCTCCCGAGGAGGGGGTGATCGATTTCCTGCTTTCAAAGGCTTTGTTATTGGCGCATTAGCAAACGGGCATTTTACTGGTGCTTTGGCCCTGGTCTTGGGGCGACTCCAGACTCGGGGGTGTTGCGGGAATCAAGGCGGGAGGCTGAATTTCCACCTTTGAGAGGCCACACAGTGTTGTCAGCTCGCATGAACATTTTGTCACGAGTCTGGTGAGAATTATTGTGTTCCTTAAAGCCCCCCCCCTCCCCCAGCTCCTGCAGTCAGGGGGATAATGGGATGATTTCAGCCTTCATTCTTAAAGAAAAATAAATTTCTAGCTTTTGGGCGTGTGGAGGAACATAAGAACGGCCAGACGGGGTCAGACCAAAGGTCCCTCTAGCCCAGTGTCCTGTCTGCCAACAGTGTCCAATGCCGGGTGCCCCAGAGGGAATGAACAGAACAGGGAATCATCAAGTGATCCATCCCCTGTCGCCCATTCCCAGTTTCTGACAAACAGAGGCTGGGAACACCATCCCTGCCCAGCCTGGCTAATAGTCATTGACTATCCTAGTAAGTCTCAAAATGTGACACACACACACACACACACACACACACTGCACCCGCAAGGCTCAAACAGCTTTTGACATAATCTCATGAGTTTTAAAGCCCATCTCGTGATCTGTGGTGAGCCTGACTCCTGGTTTTTTTTTGAACAGTTGGGTTTGGCCAGACTGAGATCACAAAGATTTGCCTTCTGGCTGAGATTTCGCGGTTGGGGTGAGCCCAGAGCCGGTCTGGGATGGCTGGTTTCCTCGGGGTGGATATGGTTGAAGTTCCCCCACCCGGACCGGAGCTGCCACATGGTCGCAAACGGGAAATCTCTCCCTCCCCGCCTTGTAACGAAGGCAAACGAGCTGCCCCCTTTCCAGTCTCCGAGCCCCCAAATCCGGTTTTAGAAACCATCTGGGAAACAAACCACCTGAGGAGATCGGGAAATGAACAGCTCTCTCACCTCCTGGAGAAGCAGAGAAAGGTTGGTTTAGGATATAATTCATTCAGCCTGTCCCTATAAAATCTGGTATTAAAACAAAAAAACCCTTCGGTTTATTTTGTCT